GTGTCACCAAGCCCATACCGTACCTGAAGCACGTCAGACACCGTAGGACGTAGCCACTCCGCAACAAGCCTCATATCCGTACCGAACCAAACACCATGGTCGACCCAAGGTAGCACCTGCCCATGCGTCTCCCGCTCTCAGAACGTCCCAACAACGGTAGTGTTAGTAATCAAGCAAACCAGCGAAAGCGACGCAGGGAACCTCGGCCATCAGCAGTTTTGAACACTGTTAAAATCCGGGGAAAATGTTCAATCCGGGGTCAGAGCTAACGGCGGGTAATCGAGGCGAAATTAGACCAACCTCCTCATAATCATGGGTTCCGGTCCCTTTCATCATTTTTCATCATTCTTCCCTTCCCTTAATTCTATTGTTGGAAATAGTAAATCAACCGTAAGATCCCCAAAATAAAATTCCGAGAAAGTTAAAATAAATGGCCGAATTCCTTTTGTTTCTTTTCTCTTCTACAATTTTTAATCTTTTTCCTATGTTTTTAATTTCATTGCCGAGAACATAAAATAACAAGGGTATTCCCCCTCGAATTAAATGCCGTAAAAAAATAAAAAAATTAAGGAATATTATGTTTTTCCCTTCTCCTATACTGGTCGTAATCCCTCTTCCCCATCTTTAATTATGGTACTAAAATAGATAAAAATTTAAGGCCTCATTTCGGCCCTGGTCGTATGCCGCCAAAAAGGTGGCTGCGAGGTCAGTTCCCTCGATACCTCTCCGCGGCAGGCCAATCCGGGTCTACCCCTCTGAAYGGCCGGAAAAGACGGTCCGTTGATGTGCCGAGCGCGACCACCCATCTTGCCATCTTTGAAGGTTACCCGCGTAAGGTTCAGCGCGCACAAAATCAAAGGCGCCCCGAGCTCCCCTAATTTCCGCTGCCTGGTCTAACCAGAGTACCGTCAAAACTCAGACTCGTCTTCGCGCCTAAGTTCCAAAACCGTAGATTTCAGGCGGCGCACTGCTTGTGGCCGCCTGACAGTTAGCCCGGACCACTTCTCGACGCCCCCGTCGAGCCCTAGCAACTTACGTCAGACGAAGCGGATGAGCTTCAGGGTGATGGCCCGTAAAGGTCGCCCACGTCGGCGTTCAATTGTGTTATGTTTCAGTTTGTTATGAGTCCTTGGGCTAAGAAGATGCTTCTTGACTCTCCTGTTTTTTCTGGTTTTTTGTCCCGACACGATCCTCTTTTTCTTCTGTCTTTGCCTCGAGAAGGGTGTCGGCCCGTCAGTACGTCTAACGCGAACTCTCCGTCTAGCTCGCTTGAGCACGAATAACCATCTCTTCTTTCTTCCTAAAGCTACCCCTTTGACCTTTCTCTTCTCTATTCTTTTCCTTTTCTTGGAACTCTCTCCTGCCTCGAATTGCCTCAAGGGCGCTCCATCCTCCATCATGGCTTTCCCTTTCCCTTTCGGGCTGGTTAGCGATAAAGCGGGTGTGGGTCTGGGCCTAAACAGCTTTAACCTAGCCCCCGCCACTGGGTCCTTCCACTTAGATCCGTCTAGTTCTGCTATCATATATTCACCCCAGTCAAGTGCCTCAACCACTCTGTAAGGTCCCATCCATCTATTGGCAAGCTTTCCGGTCCAGGTCCTTTTTAGCGCTGCATCGTAGAGAAGGACCATATCTCCTACGCTCACCCTCTCTTTCCTGATTCGCACGTTCTTATCCCATCTCTCTTTACCCTTCTCCCTTTCCACTACCAGACGATCTGCCGCTGTCATGAGGTCATCTTCCAAACCGTAGGCTATTTGTCTCGTTCGGGCAGCTAAGAGTTCCTCTCTGGACATCTCTTCTGCCCAGTCGATGGTTGTCCAACTCTCGACGTGAAATTCTATGGGAAGCGGACAATGTCATCCAAACCACAAGGTGTACGGTAGGTATCCGGTACTAGCCCGGACCGTGACGTTGTCCGCCCATATCGCGTATCGAAAATATCGTGGCCAATCACTGTCCTTACCCTTGCACCACTTGGACAGTGACGCTATCAGAGTCTGGTGTCCCCTCTCTACTGGGGAGTTCGACTGTGGGTGATAGGCGGTGGCTATCGAAACTCTCGCACCGGCTCTCCTAAACACGCTCTAAACCTCGTCGGCTAGGAATTC